CAGCAGTACGCACCCACCGGGGTTCGAACCCAGGACCTTCAGGTTACAAGGCGAGCTCGTATACCATTGAGCCACTGGGACCCGATCCAATGGTCCATGAATTCTAACTTCTGCCAATTCACGACATAGCGCGACCCCTAGCAAATGTCTTCGGCGAGTATTTGTCCTCACGCCCGACCTGCTGCACCCTACTGGTCACGACTTCTCACTAGAACCCCAGGTGACTACCCACCTGAATAGGGCAAGTCGCTAGTGAGCATCTCATTGATTTTCAAGTGTTGGTTTGTAGGGATTTGATTGGTTACAGGATTTCATCATGAGCTGACATCAGTTAGAGAACCATTGGAAAACCTGGGAGTACTGGACAGCTGTTTCGTCCTAGTTTGGGACTCTTCAGCAGTACGCACCCACCGGGGTTCGAACCCAGGACCTTCTGGTTACAAGGCGAGCTCGTATACCATTGAGCCACTGAGACCCGATCCAATGACCCATGAATTCTAACTTCTGCCAATTCACGACATAGCGCGACCCCTAGCCAATGTCTTCGGCGAGTATTTGTCCTCACGCCCGACCTGCTGCACCCTACTGGTCACGACTTCTCACTAGAACCCCAGGTGACTACCCACCTGAATAGGGCAAGTCGCTAGTGAGCATCTCATTGATTTTCAAGTGTTGGTTTGTAGGGATTTGATTGGTTACAGGATTTCATCATGAGCTGACATCAGTTAGAGAACCATTGGAAAACCTGGGAGTACTGGACAGCTGTTTCGTCCTAGTTTGGGACTCTTCAGCAGTACGTGCCCACCGGGATTCGAACCCAGGACCTTCTGGTTGCAAGGCGAGCTCGTATACCATTGAGCCACTGGGACCCGATCCAATGGTCCATGAATTCTAACTTCTGCCAATTCACGACATAGCGCGACCCCTAGCCAATGTCTTCGGCGAGTATTTGTCCTCACGCCCGACTTGCTGCACCCTACTGGTCACGACTTCTCACTAGAACCCCAGGTGACTACCCACCTGAATAGGGCAAGTCGCTAGTGAGCATCTCATTGATTTTCAAGTGTTGGTTTGTAGGGATTTGATTGGTTACAGGATTTCATTATGAGCTGACATCAGTTAGAGAACCATTGGAAAACCTGCACGGAGTACTGAACGGCTGTTTCGTCCTAGTTTGGGACTCTTCAGCAGTACGCACCCACCGGGATTCGAACCCAGGACCTTCTGGTTAAAAGGCCAGGAGCTCGTATACCATTGAGCCACTGGGACCAGATCCAATGGTCCATGAATTCTAACTTCTGCCAATTCACGACATAGCGCGACCCCTAGCCAAAGTCTTCGGCGAGTATTTGTCCTCACGCCCGACTTGCTGCACCCTACTGGTCACGACTTCTCACTAGAACCCCAGGTGACTACCCACCTGAATAGGGCAAGTCGCTAGTGAGCATCTCATTGATTTTCAAGTGTTGGTTTGTAGGGATTTGATTGGTTACAGGATTTCATCATGAGCTGACATCAGTTAGAGAACCATTGGAAAACCTGGGAGTACTGGACAGCTGTTTCGTCCTAGTTTGGGACTCTTCAGCAGTACGCACCCATCGGGGTTCGAACCCAGGACCTTCTGGTTACAAGGCGAGCTCGTATACCATTGAGCCACTGGT